TACATTTTTAGTTGTTTAATTTGTTACTTTTTTTAAAACCAACATCATGTATCGATATAGAACTAGTGAGGTATCATAAACATCTACGAAAATATTTATTAAAAAAAGGAAAAAAAAAGATTTTAACACAATGCTTGTTTAGTTTTGCTTTTTAACCCTATTTTAATTGCTATAATTTGTAGGTTTTTATGTATATTTTAGAGCTACGCTATTTTTTTCTACTTAAAAAAAAAAAAAAGGAAAAATCTTACTGCCACCTTGTGGCTGTTTTGTGTCATGTCACTATCGCTAAATATTTCTGAACTGTTTTGTCTCTTTGGTCTAATTGCCTTTCTGACAGACTCCAATTTAAAAAAATATATATTTTAAAATTAAAAATGGCTTAAATGTTCCGATTCACAGGCTTCTCAGTAATGACCTTTATTATTCATGTCTGATTATTCTGCAAGCACAGAGGAGGACGCCATCTTTTCCAGTCTGCCAGTAATTAGGTCAGATGAAGGTCTCACCTGCAGCGTGACCAGTAAACACTTTTAATTGGCGGCGCTGGTTATAATCTGCAGATTATGTCCCGATATCTCTCGTCTCTTTACCGTTGAGAAGAGTAATTTCATAATTCAACAGTGTGCAAAGTTTACTAAATGACTTCCACCCAGAAAGTGAGCTAAAGGTAAACACGCATTAATTAATGCGATCGTTGGAGCTCCTTTAATGTCTAATTAATTAGTCTTTAATCATGGAGGATTTTTCAGGAGCTGAAACTTCCTGAAACTATTAATTCCCGAGGAGCAAACAGTCATCAGGTGTTTAGCTGAACAGATTCCAACTGATTGCTCTGATCTGTGTGGATCCAGGTTTGTTACCATCGGCGCACGGCGGAGGTATGGTGATGCTTCAGATGACGGGGCCGCCGTGCCCGCAGCCCCGGGCCCCCTCCCCCTGCCAGAGGAAGCAGTCCGGCCATAAACACTCAGGCGCCGAGCAGCAGCGCGGCCGCAGGCCCCCCGAGCTCCCTCCGACTCCCGATAACACCCAGGTAACAAACCCTGCCCAGCTGGAGGCATGCATCACTCTTAATGTCTTTCCTGAACTTCTGACAAGGTGTAATTAGCTCAGCGGCTCTGATTCCGATTCGTCAGCTGCAATTTTCCAGCCATTCCCACCGGTGGGTTTTTGCGCAGCTAAGAGAACAACATGCTGCATGTCTGCAAATTTAAGACGGTGTCGAGAAAGCAATTTAAAAGCTAATTTATTTTGGTTGCGTGAGTGTGACAGTGATTGGAGAATTGTCGCCTTGAGCCAGACTCGGTCTCTCCCTCCGCCGCGGCGGGCAGGTTAAATGTCGCCGTAAATAGGCTGCGCAAATGAAGCCGGCGCTGCCGAAACCTGAAAATGAGGAGAAAATAGTCCTTAGCGTTGGGGTGTAATGGTACATTAGTGGGACTAATGTGGATGAAATGGTACATTAAAGCAACCACTTGAACATCACAATGACTTTGTAAAAGTAGTTGGAGGAGTTGATTTCTTTTTTCTGTTTTAATGAAAGTGTTTGTGTGTTTCTCTGCTTCGTCCCTCTGCACCGCCGGCGTGTTGCGTGTAGAGCAGCCTGCCTTCGTCTCCGGCGCTCACTCCCTCGCCCAGCATCAAGGGCCTACCATCAGGCGTCTCCCCCATCCCCATGCTGTCCCACCATCCGCAGCTCCCCACAGCTTTCATCCACACTGGACAAGGTCTGAATCAGTCGCATCTAAACAACTTCTTCCAGTTCATCCTGGGATTGTGGCTAATTTTGTGTCGCTCTGACCTCCAGGTGAAACGCAGTACTCTCTACTGGGTCAGCCTCTGCAGTACAAGCCCTCCATCAGACCTCCGCTGCTGCACACTGCACACATGGTAACCAAACACCAGGTAAAAGCCCCCGTTTATCAGGTTAAACTCCTTCAACTGAATTATTAAAGCCTAACGGATGTTCTCCACCTCCTCAGGGTCCTCTGGGAGTTTGGCGTAGCGGTCATGGGAGGAAGTCCAGCAGAAAACCTCTCTCTTCTGACCTCAGTGTACGTTTAGTCTTTGAGATTTCAGATGGAACGGGTTGATTTTTATCATGTCGTTCATAAAGATCTGTGAAGGTTTTCTTTAACACTAGGACTCCCAGGAGTCCATCAATTTGACAGAGGACATTTTTCCCAATGCAAGATCAGTGATGATGTCATCGACTTAAATGGTTCCAGTGGCCATATAAACTCATTCTTGGTATCTAGACCTTTAAACATGCTAATATATATATATATATCTTTAAAGGCTGTATGGTATGCCATTATTATTTATAGTCTAAGTTTGTATTAAAATAAATCTGTAAATTAAGTAAGTTTGAAATTACGATTTTATTTACAGAAATGGATTCCCCCCGCACATTTCATCACCTTTTTACATTCATAATAAACATATGAGCAGTTTTTTTTTGTGCAGTCAGTGCTGAAGCTCCTCACAGTGTTTTCTTTGCTTCGCCAAAGCACATGTGTTTGGCACACATTCGTTTGACCAGATCAAGGATGAGACCTCTGCTTGAGACGGTGACGTTCAAGCAGCTCCTGAACAAAACCGACGTGTTTATAGCTGCCATGTCTTAAACTATTGTAAAAGATGGCCGCTTCCTACCGACCGGTCGTCATCGTCGATCTCTCCCGCTCCACCCCCAATCGCTGTCATCAATATTTCGAAGCATTTCCAAAGCCTGTTTCCCTGTTAGATTTCTTCTGAAAGCCATTTTTCTGTATTAGCCAAAGAGTTTGTTTTCTCAGTAGAATGTTGGTTGCTAGGCAACTGTACCAAACGTCAATCAACGGCAGAAAGAATTTACAATGCCACTAATAGAGCCGTCAAAATGACAGCTGTGGGAGTTGGAGGTAAAATGAATTTTTTTTTTTTTTAAACAAAGTGAAAATGAAGGAATTATAGAAACGTCTCAGTTTATTACATTTCTCCTACAAACTGACCCATAGCATGACAGGTCCCTCACCATACAGAACAATGGGAATGTTCTCCTATGTTTCCCCATTTTTTATTATACATCAAGCAAATAAAAAGCCAGATATGCTTTCTAAACGTGTCCAGGGCTTCAATATTTCCAACCATCTTTCAGCTTTTCTGCACAAACATCTCAACAAGCAGCATCTTTTCTGACAGGAACCATGAGGCGGATTAAAAACCAGCTGCTTTGATGCCAATTTAGCAGATTTAGTGAAGTAGCATCACTTTTCTTGTTGTCAGATTATGTTTGCTGCGCTCCGTTGTGGTTGGGGGGGGGGAGGAAAAAAAAAGCATCTGTCGGTGAATGTAAGCAGAATAAATTACAGACGAGGCAGAAATCACACCTGCCGATGGAACCTGCAGCCCCGGCATTATTTTTCTGAAAGAAATGTGCTGTTTTATTACCTTTTTTTGCTGAGATATCTTCTTAAATCAGGTGCCGCCGTCAACAATTCAATGCTTTTTTTTTCTTAAAAAGAAAGAAATGTATTTCCTAGTTTATCATTTTTATAAGAATGCAACAAGGTTGTTTTTTTTTTTTGCTTTTTCTCTGAGGAAACTCAGCCGGCCATCCAGCTGACAGCAGCAGTTCATCTTAAGCCTCCCCGATGGTCCAGCTCCGATCCTTCTCTTCACCCATGACAGTAGTTTTATTTACCAGCTCCGCTGCTCACAGTGCTGTTCTGTGTGTCCGCAGTGAGAAGTCAGCCCCTGGAAATGACACGTCCTCCGGCGGGGATCAGCTGCACAGACTCCCACCGGATCCCGGCGGAAGCTCTGTGAAGCAAATGAATCCAGCAATCGTCTGACATCTCAACCCGAGCAGAGGCGTTCCTGGAGGACATCTGGCCGTGATACCTTTGCCAAGCACGCCACTTTAAAAACTCAGAACTAGCTCTGTATTCAGAGGGTGGGAGCGGCGTGACTCGGACAAGGCCAGCTCATAGCTGCTAGGATCTCTGAGCGCCTTGAAGGCGACATGAACCTCTGTTGCCTCAGTCTGGACCGTCTCCCAAATACTGTCCAAATCAAAGTATCCGATATTTGAGTTGTGAATGTTGACTTTTATTTTATTTTTTAGCTTTTTTTTTTTTTTCTGTTTCTCCCTGGTTGACAGGTTTGTGCAAAGAGTTCAACAAATCTACCTTTCAGTTCTAAGCCTTTCTTTTAGAGTATTTCTTAGCCAGCTCATGTCTCTTGTGATGGCAGGTATCTGAGTGTGATGACATCACAACACATCTGCTTTGTTTTTCAATTTGCCCAATTTCTAAATAAAACATTTAAGTTTATCAAACTAGTTTTTTAATCTGTTAGATACACAAGACCGCTCCCGAGTAGCAGCTGTACAATGTTTAAACACTGAATATAGAGCTACCTGATTTATTTAAAGAACCATCAAACACAGTGAATGTTGCATTTGCACTGAAGTAATCAAAGTGAAAGATTTCATTTGTATCAGACAGCCTGGATTTCTGTTTTATTATTTTTTTTTATTTTTATTTTTTTGTTTATGACCCTTCCTCCTATACCGGTTTGCACTCGCCAGGCTACTTTGTTTTATATGGTTAAATTAAAATGTTTATATGCACAATTAAAATGCAAATCAAGTGTGTCACTCTTGGCTTAATTTGTGAAACAAGAGTTTTTTTCTGTTTACGGTTTTTCAAACTTTTGTTTTTCTGGTTTGTTTGGCTTTAATAAATGTTTGCACCACACACATTGACAGTTTTAGTAAGGTTATTTAATTATTTTTCCAAAGTTTGGGTTAAGAAAAGGTACATTTATGGGCTTTCTACCTCTGGGCATGGAAATAAATCTTCCTGCTTAGTTTATTTTGCTCAATAAAGACATTAAATTAGCCTTTTTGTTGGTCGTCTAACCCCGCGGCTCAGTTTGGGGTAAACAGAGACACCTAGTGGACAAACTGCGCGCACACAGCAGCAAACGCTGATAAACGGCACCATCTAGTGGACAAACTGCCGTCCTACAGCAGTAAATGCTGGTAAACGGCACCATCTAGTGGTCGTTTGCTACTGGTACAGCACCAGTTATTCCACTTGGTTTAAAAATGAAACTAAAAGCAGCAACAGTCCGAGTATTTGAGTGGTTATAGCAACGGTAAGCGTCCCTAGCGTGGGTGGGGAAAAAACGCGCCAACTGCGGCGGTTGCTGGGCTCCATGACTGCAGCCATGGCGGAGACCCGCAGGAAGGTGGTCGTTTCCGGGGTGCCCAGCGAGCTGGAGCCGAGCAGGATGGTCGACAAGTTGACTATTCACTTTCAGACCCGCAGGAGGAGTCACGGAGGAGACGTGGAGCTCGTGGAATACCCCACGAGCATGAACGGAGTAGCCTTCGTGACTTTCGACAGAGCTGAAGGTGAATTAGCTGCTTTTATTGAGCTTTAAACTCAATTTGGGAGCGAAACGATCATTATTCTCTACAAAATAAAGGTATTTTCTGTAATTTTATGAGCTCACATAATTCTTCCTGTTTAGAGGGGAAAAAGTGAAAGTATCGAAATTCCATTTTAACCCGGAACTACTGACTATAAATAAAAGATCCTGCAGGTTAAAGTTGCCGCCATATTGATAAAGATAACTACTAATGGGGCATTCACCCAGGGCAGCAATATAGAGGGGCGCACCAGAGGCAGTTTAAGAAGTTCAGATTGTGTTCAGTTAATCTCATTTGCAAATACTAATATAAGTCCACCTGGAACTGTATAAAGGTATAAAATCCTTTACTTTTAGAAACGCAAAAACAGCATTTCTGATCATTTTTAGCATCTGGATTACAAAAAATTGAGTGGAGCGCAAAAATTGGTCAGACAGATGAGGCCTTTATGTTAGTCGCAGAGTGGGTACCTCTGCTGCATTGCAGCAAGAAGGTTGTGAGGTCGATTCCCGCTCAGGGTCTTTCTGCATGGAGTTTGCATGTTCTCCATGAGCATGCGTGGGTTCTCTCCGGGTACTCCAGCTTCTTCCCTTAGTCCAAAAACATGACTGATAGGATAATCAAATTCTCCTTAGGTGTGAGTGTTTGCTTGAATGGTTGTTTGTCTCTGTGTTGTCCTTTGATGGACTGGCAACCATGCGCCTCTTGCCCGTAGACAGCTGGAGATAGGTGCCAGCATCCCTCCTGAGCCCACTTGGGATTAAGCATGTCAGAACAACACATAAGGAACAATAGATCCATATAGACTAGAGCTGCAACTAACAATCCATCCATCCATTATCTGACACGCTTGTCCCAAGTGGGGTCACGAGGGGTGCTGGTGCCTATCTCCAGCTGTCAATGGGCGAGAGGCGGGGTACACCCTGGACAGGTCACCAGTCCATCGCAGGGCAACACAGAGACAAACAGGACATACAACCATTCACCCACACACTCACACCTAAGGAGAATTTAGACAAGTCAATTAACCTAACAGTCATGTTTTTGGACTGTGGGAGGAAGCCGGAGTACCCAGAGAAAACCCACGCATGCTCAGGGAGAACATGCAGAAAGACCACGGGCCGGGAATCGAACCCGGAACCTTATTGCTGCAAGGCAGCACTGCAACTAACAATTATTTTTGCAAATTGTTTAATCTGTCGATTATTTTTTCAAGTAATAACTGGATAACCAAAGATTCCTTAAAGAAGATCTTTTTAAAAAATGAAAACAGGTGGAACTAAAACATATTGACTGACAAAAAAAAAATTTTTAATCTTAAATGCAAAATGTTTATATATTTTTTACAATCTTGCTCTGTCAGCTAGTTCAATAATCAATTAATCCAATCGTTTCATTTTACTTCTTCATGTTATCACCACATTCTATTTTTTATGTGATTAAATCTTAAAATGGCCTGCTCTAGAAGTGATTTGAAACCTCTACAGGTTCTGAACTGATTTTGTGATATAAATCATGCTTTTGTAACTGCCTGTTTGTTTTCAGGTGTTTTGTTCTGTCTGATGTGCATCTCCTACACTGTATTTAACTCTGTCCAACTTTAAATAAACACATCAGCTTCTACGTCACTGAATGATGCAACAGAATCAATTCTACCAGCCAACTCTGAGCCATGGATCTTTGCAGATCCTCCAGTTAGCCTCTCAAATGTATGATTGGTAGATCTTCCTTTCGGGCTGTTACTGTTTCTACTTCTGAATAATGGATTAAATGAGGCTCTGTGAGATATTCAAAGCTTCTTGTGTTGTTTTTATTAACCTAACCCTGCTGTAATCTTTGTAGCTTGCTCCCAGACCTATCTGCTGTGATTAAATACAATAGATTTAATCTTTTTAATAACGTTTAAACCGTATTCCTCTGAATGAATGATTTTCTTATTTGTTTTACTCTGCTGCATGATCGTATTTTAGTTTCCAAACATGAGTCGAGTCAAAAAAGTCTCTTTGCAGATGCAGAGCGGGTGGTGGGAAAGGATCAGCACGTCATGATGGACGAGGAGTTTAAAGCAAACCACCGTCTCACTGTGTTTCCCTTCAGCTCAGATGTAAGCTCAGTTCATTTCAACATCAATTCCAAAACCTGATAATAGCTTTCATCTTTAACACCTGAGGTCCTGATCCAGACGTGTTCTTCTGCTGCAGGTCTTTCTGTACGTCCCCAGAGCTACGGTGGACCTCTCCGTTTTCGGCAGTGACCAGGCCTCTCTGATCAAGAGTCTGCAATCAGCTCACAGATCCATCCACTTCCACGCTTCACCCACAGGGAGCGGGGCCTCCATAGAGGGTCCCTTCTCCGCCGTCCGGGCCCTCAGAGAAGACCTGCTCTCCCGGGCCGGCCGCCTCAGACCCCCATCGCAAACTGCTGATGTAAAACCCAGAGAAAGCCCGCTAGCATCTGAGAATGCGCTAAGAAACAGCAGAGGCACTAAAGCTAAGCAGCAAGCAGCAAATCCCAGCAGCTTCTCAGAGTCTCTGCTGCGCACAGATGAAGCAAGAGACGTCCGAATCCTGACTTCAGGTCCGACAGCTTCCTTCAGGCAGAAAGTTCTTAATGAGAGTTTAGCCGGAGGGAGCTTCAGACGAGCAGATGGGGAGGAAATGGGAGCAGGAATGCTGTCCTCACCAGGCCTCCGACGGCTCCCTGTGGAAGGAACGTTCTCCAAACGCTTACTGGAATCATCCAGGAACAGGAAGTCCCCTCAGAACCACCTGGAAAAAGGCTCGACTAGCTCCGCAAGCAAAGCAGAGACCTCCGAGGACATTTGGGCCGACTTATACACATTTAGATACATTGAAAAATTTCACCTTGAGGAGTTAAATGAGTTCTTGAATGGTGTTGATATTTCTACTAAAGATATAGAAGGAAACGAGCTTGTGAGGATAACCCTGAGTGAGAAGCAGGCCTCAAAGAATTTCAGATACGTCGTGGAAAACCTGGAAGCTTTTATTGAATTTTGGCGATCTAAACTCAGAGTTCACAGCATATTTTATGACAATTATAAGTTCTTTGATAAGAGGAAACTGGTTCAGATCTGCAAATCTGAGTCCTCGTCGTTCGCAGGCGTTCTCTGCGTGTTTGAGGATTCATGCGTTAAAGTGGTCGGCCCCTCGGAAACCAGCCACCTGTTCTGTAAGACGATGAAGGACAAGTTCAGTCATATGAATCCCAGAATAGGTAAAAGCTGGAAGTAAGTATACATAGGAAACCACAAGGGGGAGCTGTTGCTCATAATGAAAGCTTCTGCATTGATTTTAGTATAATACTGTTATAGAACAAAAGTGTCAACAAAAGATCAATTTTTTTTCATGAATGATTTTTTTTTTCATTATAAATCCAGAGTTCCAACAAGCAGATGTCTTTGTTTTTAATTAATCGTCTCACCTCTTTATTACAAGAGACAGGCTTCTAATTAAAAACCAAAATCTGACAGATGCCAAT